GACCATCAATTTGGAAAAACACAGGAGAGAGTACCTCCCCTTTCTGGACGTCCTCTTTAACAGAACACCTCGTAGAAGTGCGCTTCGTAAGAAAAGAAATATACAGTCCAATAGAAACATCTCCACAACTTTGTTCCACTAAGTCAGAAACAAAACTTAGTCCACTGCCTCACCAACCGAACTAGGATAATATTTGCTTCAGATACACTGTAGAACAAACTCGCCCTTATAGAACGCTATGAGAAAATGACTTTCGAGCAGTTTCTCAGAAGATATATGGAGGAACGCCTCCTTCCTCCCTCCCCCCCCTCTCCCCCAACTTGGACTGAGAAGAGGGAGTTATTTCGCACATTGCCATTCCGAGGGGATCCGGCAAGCGAACTTCTACATCGCCGCTTAGAGGCTGATATAATCCTTACTCTTTTCCCAAACACTCCACTTTTTGGCTTTGAGTATAAGGGTAGCCTACCCTTTCAGACCTCTTTAATATGCACTTACGACCTTACCCGCTCCTCTGGGGTAGGTTATATTAGTTTAACGAAGAAATGTCCATCCAAGGTATACCTGCAAAGGTAGAAACGGTTGCCATCTACGTTCATAAAGGCTCTAAGGCTCCCTCGGTAGAAAATGAACCCGCCATGTGTTCTCACATCTGCTGCGTTGCTATATCTCAGACGCCTTCTTCCTCATCTTCTTCTACCCCCACACTTTTACTGTTTAAACACTTATTACTCTTCCCGATACTGACTAATCGAAAGGGTACGTTTGCCTTCTTAGTTGGCTTCTTAGATATAAATGATTGCTTATCGTTTATGCTTTTGTAGACCACGCTGGTGAACACAGAGAACACGCTTGCGCGCCTTCAGAGATCGATCGAGGAAGAGGAGGCAAAGTGGCGTCATCTGCTGTTAGAAAGCGAGAAGCGCAATGCCAATCTTAAACGCCAGTTGGAGGCCATAAAAACCAATTCCGTAAAGGTATTGACTTATGTTGCATGCACTAGTACTGCCTCTGCCTACAGTTTCAGTTTATTTGATGAGAATAATGGGCGATGTCTTTGAAAACCGTATTGTTTATCTACCGGCGTATCTGCACGTGCACTCCTATCAAAATGTTTCCTGTTAAAATAGTATTTACAAATTGTAGATAACACTGTTTTTAAAAATAAATCATTTCTGGAGCCTACGTGGTATTAATTCGGATTCATACTGTCGAGACAAAACAGGGTACACCTATAATTGCCCAAGCGTTTGCCGAAGGACGTCGGCCCCGTGTCGGGCGACACTGTCCAGACAATTCTGCCACACAACTGCCGATATGCTCATACGCTGGATATGCTACTCCTTAATAGTAGAGCGCTCTCCGGTCTAGTTAGTGAACATGCTCGTTCCGTTGTAGCTTGAAGTCCAGTCTAGAGCTCTGGGAGGCAGTCGTATAGCGACGTGTACTATATGATGAAGTGGGATCGATAAAGATAAGGGAGACCCGAATGGTCATTTCTGACTTATTAGC